GGCGGGGGCGGGGGGGTGCGGGGGGGGGAGAGGGTCTTTCCCCTCTCCTTGGGGAAAGTCATAAATAAAATAAGGCTGGAAGGCAGCTCGAGAGCGTGACGTTTAAAAATGCTGCCTCTGCATCAGCGAGTAAAGGCATCCGCTGCCCGCTTGCGCTCCCCCAGCAAAGTGAGGTTTGTGTCGTGCCTGAAGGCAGCCGGGTGGCTCTGCCTGCCTCACATCTATCTCCTCGCCCCCTTTGTAATCGGAAAAGTAACTAAAATCCGCAGGAGCGAGGCAGGCGGCGGAGAGGCTGAGCGAATGGCGGCGGAAGGGGGAACGCTGCTAAAATCTTGAGGGGGTCAAGTATTTTCTGACGGATTTTTCCGTACTCCAAAAAATCGAGTTTTTAAACAAAGATCAATGTGTTATGCTAAAGTGTTGAGCTGACTGTTAAAACATTTGGGGGGATAATGACAATGTAACAAAGGCCTGGTTTGGAGTGAATCATCACCCTTTTAAAAGTTAAAGCAATTTTCAGGAGAATAGCTTTCAGCAAACGCTTTACATTATTCAAAACGGCCAAATAATGCTCTATTATAGCGCCTGAATGCTGCCAGTCAGCCCATAAGTGCAATTTGTGCAAAGGCTCGGTGCCTTATCTCCACTTCTTTATAAAGAGGTGAATATAAAACAATTTCTTCCAAACCCAGACAGAGAGCACGAAAATTGCTTCCCTTTCTGCAATCAGGGCAATTTAACTGGAGTGCAATTAGCACTATTAAATGTCGATTCTGCATAAACAAATCTGACTAAGAAGCGAAAGTGGGGTGAGAACCTCATATAAACTGAAACTGATTTTTTAAAATTATGTATCCGGGTCCTTTACAATTGATCCGTGACGTTTTCATCTCGGAATATATTTACATCATAAATACATTACGGTTAAATCAACATAAATCTTAAAGAAAAAAAAAATTCTCGGTATGAATACTAATAAAGAAGAATAGCCTAATTAAATGCAACAGTTCACTTCCTTTGAACAATATTGTTTCCCATCTTCCCTTTACGCGTGTCTTTTGATCTGTGCAACTACTAAAGTTGCTGTCCTTAGGAGGTAAAGCTGGGAAACAATTCGTTCATTAAAGCTGATTGGGAGGCTCCTGGGTTCATATTCAAGAGCGTCAGATGAAATGGCTCTTCTGTTCAAACAGAGCTCTGGGAAAGACCTGCCAAATATTTTCCAAATAAATCGATTTAACAGCAGTTAAATGTAAGGTTGCTGTACAATTTCCCCCGAATCCTAGGAGGGACACGGAGTTTTACGCATGGATGTTGCGGGTGGGAAAGGGGCAAAGCCTTCCAAGTTCAAGAGAAGCAGCCTCATTTTCTGCCAAGCAGAAGGGACCTGGGCAGGAAACAGGCAAACTGCTCATCGCCGAGATAAATAATTGCGTCCTGCCAGATTTTTTTTTTATTTTATTTTTTTTTTTAGCAACAACACTTCCGTGCGAGTCCCCCTCCCCCTTCTCTCTCAATTACACTTTTCATTTACGAGATCTGGAAACCACCATTGATTATCAGAGCAACGCAGAGGGGGACCTGGTGATAAATTAATAACTTGAGTTAAGAAAAGGCTTCCCCACTATTCTGCCCAAAGAGTCGGTATTGAAAGGGGGAAGGATGTAGAGACAGAGAGTGTTAAAATACAGACCTCGGTGCCTGTTGAGTCCACTGAATTCTTTCTGCTGTGGAGTTTTTCATTTGTGGGTAAAGATGAAGTGCAGCTTTTGATTAGAAGGAAATCTTTTATAGTTAATAAAAAGGGAATGAGCACGGGGATCAAACAGATGATGGAAATTAAGTGGAAATTATGGCACTCTCCAGCAATTTCTGCCTGAGCTTCCACGCGGGGTTCGTTCCCTAACGCGCTCTCCGCTCCTCCTGCCCCCCGCACGCCGAGCCCCGAGGTGGAGCGCCAGGCTGGGCTTTCCCCGCGTCCCCCGGCTTGAAGGTGACACCGTTCAGGAGCAACAGGGCGGGCGACCCGCGCTACCCTGCCCGCAAAAAAAAGAACCTGCCGGGCAGCTTCAGAAAGCCTCTCGGCCACCGAACGCCGTCAAAAGCGGGTCAGTGGAACCAATTCTCTTCCGCTGAACGTGCCTGGACCGTGTAGTCCAAGCCTCCCTCGTTCTGTTTATCTCAGGCGAAGACACGTTAACAATTCACGGGAGGACTGGTGTCAGAGGAGGGAAGGTGACTGCAGCCCGTGAGATGATTTTAATTACTACAATTATTGGAAGATTATTCAACAGCATCATAGATCTGTTTTCTGCCTCGGCAGGAAAGTCTGAGGAACATTGTGCGAGGCACCTCGTAGGAGGATTTTCTGCCCTGGCTCGCGTGCCTTCCAGTGCTGCTACGATGCACAGGTCAGGCACGACGCGCTCGGACCGCAGCAGGTCTGAAATCCAGCCAGAGCTGGCGTTCGCAAAGCTTCCTTCGAGGGAAGGTGTTTCTAAATAGAAGGAGCTTAATTAGTAAGCGGCCGGACCCACGCCGACAGGGCGTGAAACCACCTTTTCGCACGGGTCTCTTAAAGAGGCTCTGATGACTTGGTGCCGGGGTCTGCCTTTTAAGCAGGGGAGCAGTGGCCGCAGGCGTGAGCTGGGCAGTCGCCCGGCGGGTCCCTGCCCGCCCGGCGGGTCCCTGGCCGCCTGGCCGGTCCCTGCCCACCCG